AAATAAAACGACTACAGTGATAACTTGTGAAATTAATAAAACATAATATTATTTGTTTGAAATTAATAAAACATGTATTATTTTTTTAGAATGTGGTTTGACGAACACACAGAAACGTATTGTAGGTGGTGTTGAAACTCAGATCAATCAATATCCGTGGATGGTGTTAATGATGTTCAGAGGGCGATTTTACTGCGGTGGATCTGTTATAAGTTCTCGTTACGTGCTGACTGCTGCACACTGTGTCGACAGGTGATTTTATAAATTATTAAATTTATGTGTGCACAATTTCGAGCACAATAACTTCATTATTTTCACATACAGTGAAATGCAATTGCAGCGTAAATGCAATTTAATGCAACGTATGAAATCGCGACTTGTTGTTGACAATATCACTGTAATTAACAACTTCAATTATATCGTATATATAATAGTAACAACAAGATTATAACACTATGTCACACAATATTCTAATATTATTTTCCAACTAATACTACCAGAAAAATATATAATAAGCGTAGAAAATTTTCGACTTTTTTTGTCTCTTTCACTGCAGATAATAATTTTCCCCTAAAGATACAACAAAATAAACAGCAATTTTACATTGCACAGTATATTTATGTGATAACAATATGCAGTGCGACAGTTATGCGTTGCAGTCGATCAGTTATAAGTCACTGCTGACACAGCGTGACACAAATCTCATGAATAATTAAAACAGGTTCGATCCAAATCTCATGTCAGTTCGGATATTGGAGCACGATCGCAATTCAACTACAGAGGCAGAGATCCAGGAATTTGAAGTCGAGAAAGTGATCAAGCACAGCGGTTACTCCACGTTCAACTATAACAACGATATCGCGCTCGTCAAATTAAAGGACGCCATTCGATTCGAGGGAAAGATGAGGCCTGTTTGCCTTCCAGAACAAGGTAACGCTCTAAATCCTCTGCTGTTCAATGACACGTATGTGACTTTATGGCACAGATTACAAATTCTCATTTCTCGCAGTATCTATTTTGTCCGATCGAACAGATCGAAATTAATTTCATTTCTTAGCAAATCAATATATCTTTGTACGTAGCTGTTGTCAAATTTATAGAATTTAAAATTTCTTTGTTCGAAGAGAATTAGAAGAACACGGTCAAATATCGTCACTAACAAAAGTAACCAAATGCTTCTTTCGCGTTGTACCTAGAAATATTAAAGAGAAGAAGAAAGAAAATTTAAAAAAAAG